ACCCATTTAGAGGGAAGATATGATTGGTCAATTGTACTGTCATTTGACATTACTCTCTCGTTCAGTTAATATAGCGGGCCCTCTGTGAATCGCAGAGAGGGCCAGGTGAGCTTCTTTCATGTAACCCCTACATTCAAACAGAGAATGAACAGGCAGATTCGAAGGTTTTATTTCTTTGGAAATGTTATTTTAAATACAATTAAATCAAGTTTTTTTTCGGTAAAACTAATGAAAAATATAACAAAAATAATATTAAAAAAATATATATTTATAAAAAATATTATTTTTTTTAATGTTTTTAAATATTATTTTTTGGAATATCTTAGGCCCTCACAGAGGGCCTAGAGGGCCCTGACGGCTAGCCACTGGTTTTCACTATCTGTAAAAAATCATTTTTGGACGGACACTATAATTTACAGTTTTTTACTATGTAAAATCTGAATTTTCTTTAAAATAAAAAACATCTATATTGATTCTGACACTTCTACATCCAACTCACAGATGTAACCTTGCTTTGATAAAATAAATTATTCATATAACCCTTTTAGAAGTTAAGTTGTAGTCATTTGTTTTGGGCATGTCATTTTCGAGCCTGAAACATGAAAAACAGGCTAGGTGCTTAACAGGTTAAAAAATATATTTATTTTTATTTTTAATAAACAAGGTAAATATTATATAATTGGTATCAGTAGAATGTATAATCTACAATAAAATCTCGTTTAAAATTGTGTTACGATGTCTAAAGTTACTGATAAGTCACATGTTTCCTGCCTGGCCTTGCCCGTGTATCATTACCCTCTCTCGTCTGGGCGCTATGCACAGCGCCCAGACGAGAGTGCAGCAAGTGCAGCAGAAGCCAACTGTTGCTATCTTTAAACTATGCCGCCGAAACATAATTTCAGCCAATCAGCGTCGTCAAATCTGATGGTCACAGGGCTCCTATGTCAGCGCCCGGTGCAGTCTGTGAGTTGTTTGGACTCGTATCCAAGGAGACAAAACAGGAAGCTGTCATACACTCTGGAAGCTACCATTAGCAGCTAATGAAAACTCAGTTTTTGACATAAAAATGGAATTATGGATCATCAATCATTTTCAAAGTGACAGACACATTGGATTAACCTATGGATTAACCTTCAGCTGCGTTTTTCTAGTTTTTGATCACAATTGTTATTCTGCAAAAGGTGAGCATATCTCCGTGTTTTGCTACCTAAAGCTACGTTGTGTGATGTCTGTATTTGCTTCCCCTGTTGCGAGTTCTGATCGCTCAGTGATGATACTTATATTTCTAGAATCTGTGGAATCTCAGTTTGTTAGCATAAGCTTGTTTGTGCATATCCGATAAGTATATCGATTGATTTATACCTAGAGTGCGTTAGCATTTTTTCGCTCAGGGCTCATTTAGACGCTTCTTGTGAGACTTTTGTTTCGGTAAACATGGTTCATATCATCAGTTAGCTGCGTTTCCTCTGAGTAGGACACATGAATAGTTTATTACATTTTAAGAAGCCCTGAGACACAGTTTCGTGAACAAAAAAGGGGGAAAAAAGCCCCTTAACAGGTTAAATGGGAATTAATTGAATTAAATCATTTTAAGTAATTTTGAGTCTTCCCAAAGCCCCGGTGTTCTGCAGTTTGTGTGGGCCTACTGTACTGTTGCACAGTTTATGCTGTAGAAACTATGTCCAGGACAAGGTGTTTGGAAGTTTTGGAAGATTCATAGCTAACCACACTGTAGTTATGGAGGTATTGATCAGCCCCCCCGGACCGCATGGTCCGGGGGGGCATCCCCCCGGACCCCCCTAGTATTGTTTGATCACCATTTCCACAGCCCCACCTAAAATATTTTCCACCAGCCGCCACTGCCTATGACCTTTGACCCTGTGTGTCTGCTGACCTTCACACACACCAGAGGGTCAGTTCAATCATCCATGAACGACACATTCCTGCGAAATGCATGAATATCTATTTTCAATGATCTTTGTAGTGGTCAGAACAACACAGCACACTCGTTAAAAACAATCTGTGAAACCAAGAACTATCAAACCACTTTCCTGTGAAAAGCACTACATGTTTTTAATTGCATGAACTGTTCAGAATTAGTTAAAGAATCAACATTTAACCAACATCTCTTTGTCAATTGAAGGAGAAAGATGGAAAGAAGATGGAACAAAATCCATGTGCTCTACAAAGCCAATACATCATTTAAATGGAATATGTATGCCAAGAAAAATAAAGTATTTCAGAACTCTATGGACCCTTCAGCTGCTGCATTATAACAAATGCATTGTATGCAGCATGTCAGTATTCAAACAGACAGACCGTTATTTAAATTCCAAAAGGGATTTCAAGGTTTCCAACAAACCCACAGACTTCATGTCAGGCTGAACGTTGTTGAAATGTGTCTAAAATGCTGCAAAGAACATTGAGATTATTCCACGCTATGCCGGGCTGCGGTGGTTTGATTTTCGATATTTCATTCAATGAAGAATGATAGGGCTTTGGAAAATGAATACACATATTTTATTGTTTTTACAGTCCGTAAAACAACGGATTTATGGAGAGGTTGAATGAATCAAATCAAAATCAAATCAAGTTTTATTTATAAAACACATTTAAAAGCGATTTTTGGTCGAGCCAAAGTGCTGTACATGTAATAAAAACACATTACTACAATCACAATAAAAGACAATAAATTACAACAGATATATATAAAAAAATAAAAATAAAACACAAGGAAAAGTCAGGAGTCGTGCTCCGCTCTAACTAGAAGGCCAGAGAGAAGAAGTGTGTTTTTAGTGTAGATTTAAAAACCCCTAAGGTCTGGGCCGACCTCACATGGAGGGGCAAAGTGTTCCAGAGCCTAGGGCCAGCTGCTGAGAAGGCTCGGTGCCCTCGGGTTTTAAGCCTGGTCTTGGGCACTACCAGCAGCAGCTGGTCAGCAGACCTTAAAGCTCTGGCTGGGGTGTAGCGCTGGAGGAGTTCGGCTATATAGGCCGGAGCCAGCCCATTTAGTGCTTTAAAAACAAATAAAAGGATTTTAAAATCAATTCTGAACCGAACTGGAAGCCAGTGTAGTGAGGCCAGAATAGGGGTGATGTGGTCACGCTTTTTGTGGCCAGTCAGCAAACGTGCAGCTGCGTTTTGGACTAGCTGCAGGCGTTTAATTGAGGCCTGGTCCATACCCATGAAGAGAATGGGACCTTAAATCCTTGATGACATTATGTAGAGTTGTCAAAGTAAAATGACAACCCACGCCTCCAATAGGAGACCAGAAGTCCCTTTGATCAGGAAGGAGTCAATCCTTGAGTCTGGCGCCTTAGACCACTCAGCCATCCTGACTACTATTGGTTCCATCTGGTCAAACCAAAAATGTTAGGAGAGGTTTAAGACACTTGCCAAGTAAAAAATATATATGATTCAATCTTTTGTAAAAACCAACATTTGATCCTCCAGATTATATGTCTTCGATCTTGAAAAGCTGTAACGTTTTCTGAATATATTGAAATTATGAATTGGGTTTCTACCGCCATAGCAGACATAAACGTCCATTAATTTGAACCAATGACCTGCTCCAGTTCAAAATGAGACCAAACATCGCTTTGGATTACAGTTTCTGAGGCTTGTTTTTAGCCTAGACTATTCACAAAATGTATTTTCTTGTGTTACCCTACCACCAAAACAAGAATAATTAGAATTTAGCAGTTACATAAGGGTATAAAACATTCAATAAAATAGTTTTTCTGTCAACTTTTTCATCACCACAACCATTGGAGGATATTTTAGAGGTAAACAGTCATAAATTAGTATAAGTATAAAAATATAAGTTTGCTGGTTTTAATAGAATTCAAGATAACAGACACATTATCTTCCCTCAGGCTAAAAACAGGCAGAGAAAACAATACACACACACACACACACACACACACACACACACACACACACACACACACACACACACACACACACACACACACACACACACACACACACACTCAGAGTGCGAGTGCCACCGTGTGTCAGTCATGTTGTACTGATGAACTCATTAAGTGTTTAAATGACTTATAAGTGACTGATCAATCTGCCTGACGAACTGTCTATCTGTCATCTGACCGGATAATTATCTGTGTGTGTGTGTGTGTGTGTGTGTGTGTGTGTGTGTGTGTGTGTGTGTGTGTGTGTGTGTGTGTGTGTGTGTGTGTGTGTGTGTGTGATCATTTGAATGTGTGGATGGTTTGCTGGGTTCACTGGTTGTCTAATGGGGCATTTCCACCATGGCGCGGAGCGCGGTTTAAGCGTGCCGTGTCGTGACGGGCCCGTTTTTGGTTGCGCTTCCACTAGGCCTAGTTCCGGCCGGGGAGTACTTTTTCACCTCTTTTCTGGCCCGACATAATCGTGGTTCTATCGGGGCCAACAAACAGGGCTGAGTTTGCTAAACTAGAGAGAGAATCGCTGGCATGGGGGCTACAACTACAACAAGATGAACATATTTGACCGTGATTGAATTGTAATACACGTTTCAAAATGATGCCGAAGTAACAACATACTGATACCGGTTAGTAAAAACCATGAATTAATGCTTTGTCAAGTCTGCAGACAGACGGCAGGTGAAAAACCTTTTAAAATGCGTGTTTTCTAGATGGAGATTGGCTAAGCTAACGTTGTATATGCTCCGACCGTCCACACTCACAACAACGGCCTATACAGACATAAATAAACCAGCGACTGTATTCTCCATGACACAGACAGTCTGTGGTTTGTACTTGTTTAACTTTTGTCTAGTTTCTGAACAGATATGAGGAGCTGTGAGCTCTGAATGCTAACAGCTAACGGCTGTGTTGTTTTTCTGGGGTTCTCATTGAAGATGACGTCACGGCTCCGCCTACACTGTGTTACTATAGATACTACCCCAGTTCCTAAACTGTAATGGAAGCGCAGCATGAAGTGAGCCGGCCTAACAAGGCCCAACGCGGCCTAGCAGTACCAAGCGAGGCCGAGGCCGACCGTGTGGTGGAAATGCGCCATAAGTGAGCTGTTAAACACTGTGTTGGAATGAGCAGGCGGACAGGAGGTGCTGCAGAGGTCAGTGAATGATCCTGTTCATCTCTACCTGCTCTGATCCACTGTCACACACACCTTCAGTGGTAATATCTTCACTTCCTCCCAAGTGCAAATGTATGGAAACACCCTCTCAGTGAAAGTGTGTGTGAAGGTGTGTATGTGTGTGTTAGTGTCAGGATCAGAGAACGACACCTCTCCTCTGTTCCAGTCCAGATTCACTCTGACCCTCTGGAGCTTCTTCTTCAGGCTGAGAGGAGTGACTGGAGCTGGTGGTGAACATGCTGAGTATATACCTTTAATGAAAGCTATCATCCATAATCCAGACTGTATGCTTCCCCTCCTCTGGACAGACTCTGCTAACACACCCAGTACCCAGCGTGTACTGTCTGTAACCTGGACATCCCAGCTGTGAGTCCCTGAGTTAAAGCCTTCAGAGCCCAGGACAAAGCCGTATTTATCAAACCTCTCTGGATTATCAGGAAGTTTCTGTGTCTCATCTCCTCGTCTCACTCTGGTCAGATCTTCAGACAGGATGAGTTCTGGATGAGCAGTGTTTGGGTCCAGGATGAGAGGATAATATGACACCAAGTCCTTCATCTTGCTCCAGATGTTGAAGCTGAGGTTGCCCAGGTGTTTGGCCTGGTCTATCAGAGCTCCTGAGGGCAGCTGTGGAACCTCCAGCAGGGGGCGCTGCAGCCTCTCCACTGCAGCCTTGTAGTTGTGCAGGAAGGAGACGTCTTCAGCTCTCAGCTCCTCCTCTGTGGCTCTGACTGTGTGTGAAAGAGCTGCTATCTCTCTGCTCACAGCCTCCATCTTCTCCTCCATCATCCTCCTCTTCTGCTCCTCTTCCTCCCTCAGTGCAGCCATCCTGGCCTCCTCTTCCTCTTCTAGAAACTGGTGAAGCTTCTTAAACTGCTTCTTAATCTGCGTCTCTGTGTGTCGAGCCTGGACCTTCAGGTGTCCTGCTGTTTGATCAAACTTCACTTTAACTTCTTCAATGAGCTTCAGTTTCTCCTGAAAGGGCTGCAGAGCTTTCTGGAGCTCCTCTCTGAGACCCTGAGCAGCTTCATCGATGGGTCTGATTCTGTGATTGGTGTGTGTTATTGAAACACTGCAGACGACACACACTGGCTGCTGATGGTCCAGACAGAAGAGTCTGAGTTTCTCAGAGTGCAGACTGCAGAGAGCCTCAGAGGTCCCTCTCTCCAGTAAGAAGGTCTCACACGTGTTCTTTAAAGCCAGGTTACAGGGGGGATTTCTTCTTGAAGATTCTGTCTTACAGACTGGACACTCTCGTGATGGTTTCTCTCTCCACCAGGTCTGCAGACAGGCTTTACAGAAGCTGTGGCTACAGGACAGAACAACAGGATCTCTAAAGACGTCCTTACAGACCGGACAGCAGAGATCTTCCTCTAACCTGGACGCCATGTTGTCTCTGAGTGAAGCTGAAACACAGCAGACAGGAAGTACAGTCAGTCATGGCTCCCCTCCCCCTCCTCTACTGACTTCACTGAAATTCACTTTGAGTGTTGTTTGGAGACTCACCTTCAGGGGGGGGAGGGTCCGCCGCTAGAAGCAGCAGGGTTGTAGTTTCCACTTTTCTCTCCTGTAGCTGAACTCAGGGGAAGTTGTTAGTTTGGTCTGAAGGTGAATGTGATCGTCTGTTTTTCAGTCCGTCTCTCTCTCTGCAGTGAGGAAGAAGAACAAACTGTTTCCTGGTGTGTCTCAGGTGAGTCAGTGAGGGAGGAGTTCTGTCACGCCTCCTCTGCTGAACTCTGTAACCTCTCATGTAACACAGGGTGTGTCTCATCATCGCTGCATTGAAGTTGTAGTGGAGGAGTTAAACTATAAACTCATGTATCATTGGAGAGGGAAACGAGTCCGTCTCTTTGAGCGTACAGAGATTGGATGGCCCTGAGAAGAGACCCAGAAGTGTAAAGTAACTAAGTACATGTACTCAAGTACGGTACTTAAGTACAATGGTACTTTACTTGAGTATTTCCATTGTATGCTACTGTGTACTTCTACTCCTCTACAGTTCAGAGGTAAATGGTGTACTTTTACTCCACTACATGTATGTAATACCTTTAGTTACTTCACAGATCTGGATGAATGATGTGAAATATAATAAACTCTTAAATCAGACTTTAGTTACACCTGGAGTAAATTCATAATGAACTACTTTACTAATACAAACTGTGGGGGAAACTTCTGAAGCAATAGGAGTCAGGACTCAGAGAGACACGAGGAGAGCTGGAGCTTTGATGGCAAACACTGACGGTTTGTTTGGAGCTTCGGCCGGAGAATTCACAAGACATGTCACGGGCCACGAGTTGACCACCCGGTTGAGATGCCACAATCAATTCTGAAGACCCCTCCTGCAGCTCCAGGTTTGAACTAGTTCAGAGTGTAATAATCAACATTCTTCAATAGAGAGACTAAACAGCTGAGGACACTGAATCACATTTGTTGTTGCTTATGGCTCGAGGTCATCTACACCCCGAGAAGGATGTGTTCCAGGTGTCCCACAACAATAAGTATCTCTGACCGAGAGGTGCCCGGTCACAAACTGGTAACAACAACAATATGCTAGGGCAGCCCCTCCTTAAGGGAGATAACGGCTGCTCAAGGCTGGTCAGCTGCGTCAGCGGGCGAAAGGTAAACATGTAGGGGAAATTATTCCCTGACACTAAGGAACATAAATGAAGCTATGTTAAATAAAGGGTACATTTTATTTTGATATTGTCTGTTAATATTTGTGTTGTTTTATCAGAAATATGACTTCAATCTCAAACAAAACAACAACAAAAATGGATAGATGATAATAATCAGATAGAATGCAAAAAAATAAATACGAGACTCTCAGAAAGTAATGTTTTTGTGGGGATTATAACGAGTTTCCAGAGGTTTTTGGATGTGAGTTTTAATAACCTTTAAGGAGTTTTTTGTAGGATGTTTTGAAATGATTGAGTTTCCATGAGTTTTGAGATTACAATTTGGTGACTATAAATGAGTTTCTGTGAGATATTTGGGAGTTTCTTGGGAGGTGTGTGTGTGTGTGTGTGTGTGTGTGTGTGTGTGTGTGTGTGTGTGTGTGTGTGTGTGTGTGTGTGTGTGTGTGTGTGTGTGTGTGTGTGTGTGTGTGTGTGTGTGTGTGTGTGTGTGTGTGTGTGTGTGTGTGTTTGTGCGTGTGTGTGTGTGTGTGTGTGTGTGTGTGTGTGTGTGTGTGTGTGTGTGTGTGTGTGTGTGTGTGTGTGTGTGTGTGTGTGTGTGTGTGTGTGTGCTTACACTGTTTTCTCAAACAAAGACGATGCAGTCTTGTCACACAAGCTCACGTACAAACTCTCTGATGTGTTTCAGTCAATACACATTATTTAGACGTGGGTTGCCACACACACACACACACACACACACACACACACACACACACACACACACACACACACACACACACACACACACACACACACACACACACACACACACACACACACACACACACTGTGTTGCTCATGTTGTGTCTGGTGGACCAGGCTCACCAGGTGAGACCCTGAATATTTGTGGTAAAACTGCAGACATTTCCAATACTCTGGCTTTCTGAAATGTCTGCAAATCATCTGTATGGTTACAGAAACAATGTGTTATTGGCAGTGATTGATGTGTCATGGCTCTTAGGATGGCAATAACTGTCGGTCCACCACTTCGTTTTAGACAGAAATATCTAAAATGACCATGACCGTTAGCTTGTGGGTTGCAGCATAGCTTAGTTTTTAAATGGCAGCAAATCCTGCCTTTTTGATTTCAGAATCAGAAACGGGTTTATTGCCAGGTCGGTTCACACATACGAGGAATTTGACTTGATGTCATGGTGCATACATAAAATATAAAATAAAGAATCTCCATATAAAACAAAAAATCTTTAAGGACACTGTAATAAAATATAGTTAAATATCAATAACATAAAGCAGTAATTTACAACGAAATGGAATGTAACGAGTTATAGAATATAAACTATGAAATATGAAATAAGAATATGTGCAGTAAGCAGTATTGAACATTGTGTGCATTAATGTAATGCATATAGAGTCTACGTTGTGTCAGTGGGGGGGCCGGGCCTTGTTTAAGAGGCCGGTAGCGGAGGGGAAGAAACTGTTCAGGTGGCGAGAGGTTTTGGTCCTGATGGAGCGCAGCCTCCTGCCAGAGGGGAGGGGGGTGAACAGTTTGTGTCCAGGGTGGCATGGGTCGGCCACTATCTTCCCTGCCCGCCTCAGGGTCCTGGAGGCGTGCAGGTCGTGGAGGGATGGCAGATTGCAGCCGATCACCTTCTCTACAGAGCGGATGACACGCTGCAGCCTGCACTTATCCTTGGCTGTGGCTGCGGCGTACCAGATGGTGATGGAGGAGGTGAGGATGGACTCCATGATGGAGGTGTAGAAGTTCACCATCATCGTCTTTGGCAGGTTGAATTTCTTCAGCTGCATGGACTTTAATTGAATATTTGGGATAAAACTGATTCTCAGGAGTGGGATTTGAACCCAATTCAATTGGGTCAACAAATCTGTTTCTTGAATAAACTAGACATGCTTTATAATAGGCAGGTTTAAGACACTAAATAATCATATTTCCTTTATCCTTTGGTACATACTGATGTGTATCTTAGATTACCTAAAGAAACTGCCCTAAAATGTTTTCAGACGTTTATGGTCGACTGACTTTTTCTCAAGAACCACCAGCAGTTCAAGGTTTTCTCCTATTCTGAGAAAGATTTCAACATCTACAGGACAGATGGGCACATCTTTTGATATCAGTTTTACTAATGATCAAATTTGGTACGTGGTAAACAATACAAATCTGATAAAAAAGCTGTCAGGAGTGGGATTTGAACCCACGCCTCCAATTGGAGAGCAGAAGTCCCCTTGATCAGGAAGGAGTGGATCTTTGAGTCTGGCGCCTTAGACCACTCGGCCATCCTGACACTTTATAGCTTTCCATGAAATGTCTTCAGACGTTCAGAGTTCACTGACTTTCTTTTTCAGCAGTTCAAGGTTTCCCACTTATTCTGTGAAATATTTCAGCATCTACAGGACAGATTGGCACATATTTTGGTAGAAACATTCATGGTTCCCAGAGGATGAATCCTAAAGATTTTGGTGATCCTCTGACTTCTCGTCTAGCGCCACCAGCAGTTCAGGATAACAGATCACCCGACACTTTGGTTTATGACTAAATACCTTAAGAACTAAGAGTTTACCATATGCATAGAGGGAACTACTATGAAAAGAGCAACCTTGATACAAGGTCAATATTATACACGCATAACCTGTGGTTTAAAATATGTCAGGAGTGGGATTTGAACCCACGCCTCCAATTGGAGACCAGAAGTCCCTTTGATCAGGAAGGAGTCGATCCTTGAGTCTGGCGCCTTAGACCGCTCGGCCATCCTGACTACTATTAGTTCCATGGGTTATCTATCAAAATCAAAAATGTTAGGTGAGGTTTAAGACACTTGCCAAGTAAAACATATATATGATTCAATCTTTTGTAAAACCAACGTTTAATCCTCCAGATTATATGTCTTCGATCTTGAAAAGCTGTAACGTTTTCTGAATATATTGAAATTATGAATTGGGTTTCTACCGCCATAGCAGACATAAACGTCCATTCATTTTAACCAATGACCTGCTCCAGTTCAAAATGAGACCAAACATCGCTTTGGATTACAGTTTCTGAGGCTTGTTTTGAGCCTAGACTATTCACAAAATGTATTTTCTTGTGTTACCCTACCACCAAAACAAGAATAATTAGAATTTAGCAGTTACATAAGGGTATAAAACATTCAATAAAATTGTTTTTCTGTCAACCTTTTCATCACCACAACCATTGGAGGATATTTTTGAGGTAAACAGTCATAAATGAGAACGAAAAATATAAGTTTGCTGGTTTTAATAAAATTCAAGATACCTACAAACAGACACATTATCTTCCCTCAGGCTAAAATCAGGCAGAGAAAACAATACACACACACACACACACACACACACACACGCACACGCACACGCACGCACACACACACACATACACTCACTCACTCACTCACTCAGAGTGCGAGTGCCACCGTGTGTCAGTCATGTTGTACTGATGAACTCATTAAGTGTTTAAATGACTTATAAGTGACTGATCAATCTGCCTGACGAACTGTCTATCTGTTCATCTGACCAGATAATTATCTGTGTGTGTGTGTGTGTGTGTGTGTGTGTGTGTGTGTGTGTGTGTGTGTGTGTGTGTGTGTGTGTGTGTGTGTGTGTGTGTGTGTGTGTGTGTGTGTGTGTGTGTGTGTGTGGAATGAGCAGGAGGACAGGAGGTGCTGCAGAGGTCAGTGAATGATCCTGTTCATCTCTACCTGCTCTGATCCACTGTCACACACACCTTCAGCGGTAATATCTTCACTTCACCCAGAGTGAAAATGTATGGAAACACCCTCTCAGTGAAATTGTGTGTGAAGGTGTGTATGTGTGTGTTAGTGTCAGGATCAGAGAACGACAACACTCCTCTGTTCCAGTCCAGATCCACTCTGACCCTCTGGAGCTTCTTCTTCAGGCTGAGAGGAGTGGGTGGATCTGATGGTGACCGTGCTGAGTATTGACCTCCAAAGAAAGCTATTCTCCATGATCCAGACTTTATGTTTCCCTTCCTCTGGACAGACTCTGCTGACACACCCAGTAACCAGTGTGTACTGTCTGTAACCTGGACATCCCAGCTGTGAGTCCCTGAGTTAAAGCCCTCAGAGCCCAGGACAGAGGGGACACTATCAAACCTCTCTGGATTATCAGGAAGTTTCTGTCTCACTCCTCCTGCTCTCACTCTGGTCAGATCTTCAGACAGGATGAGGTTTGGATCAGCAGTGTTTGGGTCCAGGATGACAGGATAATATGACACCAAGTCCTTCATCTTGCTCCAGATGTTGAAGCTGAGGTTGTCCAGGTGTTTGGCCTGGTCTATCAGAGCTCCCGAAGGCAGCTGTGGATCCTCCAGCAGGGGGCGCTGCAGCCTCTCCACTGCAGCCTTGTAGTTGTGCAGGAAGGAGACGTCTTCAGCTCTCAGCTCCTCCTCTGTGTCTCTGACTGTGTGTGAAAGAGCTGCTATCTCTCTGCTCACAGCCTCCATCTTCTCCTCCATCATCCTCCTCTTCTGCTCCTCTTCCTCCCTCAGTGCAGCCATCCTGGCCTCCTCTTCCTCTTTTAGAAACTGGTGAAGCTTCTTAAACTGCTTCTTAATCTGCGTCTCTGTGTGTCGAGCCTGGACCTTCAGGTGTCCTGCTGTTTGATCAAACTTCACTTTAACTTCTTCAAAGAGCTTCAGTTTCTCCTGAAAGGGCTGCAGAGCTTTCTGGAGCTCCTCTCTGAGATCCTGAGCAGCTTCATCGATGGGTCTGATTCTGTGATTGGTGTGTGTTATTGAAACACTGCAGACGAGACACACTGGCTGCTGATGGTCCAGACAGAAGAGTCTGAGTTTCTCAGAGTGCAGACTGCAGAGAGCCTCAGAGGTCCCTCTCTCCAGTAAGAAGGTCTCACACGTGTTCTTTAAAGCCAGGTTACAGGGGGGATTTCTTGTTGAAGATTCTGTCTTACAGACTGGACACTCTCGTGATGGTTTCTCTCTCCACCACGTCTGCAGACAGGCTTTACAGAAGCTGTGGCTACAGGACAGAACAACAGGATCTCTAAAGACGTCCTTACAGACCGGACAGCAGAGATCTTCCTCTAACCTGGACGCCATGTTGTCTCTGAGTGAAGCTGAAACACAGCAGACAGGAAGTACAGTCAGTCATGGCTCCCCTCCCCCTCCTCTACTGACTTCACTGAAATTCACTTTGAGTGTTGTTTGGAGACTCACCTTCAGGGGGGGGAGGGTCCGCCGGTCGAAGCAGCAGGGTTGTAGTTTCCACTTTTCTCTCCTGTAGCTGAACTCAGAGGAAGTTGTTAGTTTGGTCTGAAGGTGAATGTGATTGTCTGTTTTTCAGTCCGTCTCTCTCTCTGCAGTGAGGGAGAAGAACAAACTGTTTCCTGGTGTGTCTCAGTGAGTCAGTGAGGGAGGAGTTCTGTCACGCCTCCTCTGCTGAGCTCTGTAACCTCTCATGTAACACAGGGTGTGTCTCATCATCGCTGCATTGAAGTTGTAGTGGAGGAGTTAAACTATAAACTCATGTATCATTGGAGAGGGAAACGAGTCCGTCTCTTTGTGCGTACAGAGATTGGATGGCCCTGAGAAGAGACCCAGAAGTGTAAAGTAACTAAGTACATGTACTCAAGTACGGTACTTAAGTACAATGGTACTTTACTTGAGTATTTCCATTGTATGCTACTGTGTACTTCTACTCCACTACAGTTCAGAGGTAAATGGTGTACTTTTACTCCACTACATGTATGTAATACCTTTAGTTACTTCACAGATCTGGATGAATGATGTGAAATATAATAAACTCTTAAATCAGACTTTAGTTACACCTGGAGTAAATTCATAATGAACTACTTTACTAATACAAACTGTGGGGGAAACTTCTGAAGCAATAGGAGTCAGGACTCAGAGAGACACGAGGAGAGCTGGAGCTTTGATGGCAAACACTGACGGTTTGTTTGGAGCTTCGGCCGGAGAATTCACAAGACATGTCACGGGCCACGAGTTGACCACCCGGTTGAGATGCCACAATCAATTCTGAAGACCCCTCCTGTAGCTCCAGGTTTTAACTAGTTCAGAGTGTAATAATCAACATTCTTCAATAGAGAGACTAAACAGCTGAGGACACTGAATCACATTTGTTGTTGCTTATGGCTCGAGGTCATCTACACCCCGAGAAGGATGTGTTCCAGGTGTCCCACAACAATAAGTATCTCTGACCGAGAGGTGCCCGGTCACAAACTGGTAACAACAACAATATGCTAGGGCAGCCCCTCCTTAAGGGAGATAACGGCTGCTCAAGGCTGGTCAGCTGCGTCAGCGGGCGAAAGGTAAACATGTAGGGGAAATTATTCCCTGACACTAAGGAACATAAATGAAGCTATGTTAAATAAAGGGTACATTTTATTTTGATATTGTCTGTTAATATTTGTGTTGTTTTATCAGAAATATGACTTCAATCTCAAACAAAACAACAACAAAAATGGATAGATGATAATAATCAGATAGAATGCAAAAAAATAAATACGAGACTCTCAGAAAGTAATGTTTTTGTGGGGATTATAACGAGTTTCCAGAGGTTTTTGGATGTGAGTTTTAATAACCTTTAAGGAGTTTTTTGTAGGATGTTTTGAAATGATTGAGTTTCCATGAGTTTTGAGATTACAATTTGGTGACTATAAATGAGTTTCTGTGAGATATTTGGGAGTTTCTTGGGAGGGTGTGTGTGTGTGTGTGTGTGTGTGTGTGTGTGTGTGTGTGTGTGTGTGTGTGTGTGTGTGTGTGTGTGTGTGTGTGTGTGTGTGTGTGTGTGTGTGTGTGTGTGTGTGTGTGTGTGTGTGTGTGTGTGTGTGTGTGTGTGTGCTTACACTGTTTTCTCAAACAAAGACGATGCAGTCTTGTCACACAAGCTCACGTACAAACTCTCTGATGTGTTTCAGTCAATACACATTATTTAGACGTGGGTTGCCACACACACACACACACACACACACACACACACACACACACACACACACACACACACACACACACACACACACACACACACACACACACACACACACACACACACTGTGTTGCTCATGTTGTGTCTGGTGGACCAGGCTCACCAGGTGAGACCCTGAATATTTGTGGTAAAACTGCAGACATTTCCAATACTCTGGCTTTCTTAAATGTCTGCAAATCATCTGTATGGTTACAGAAACAATGTGTTATTGGCAGTGATTGATGTGTCATGGCTCTTAGGATGGCAATAACTGTCGGTCCACCACTTCGTTTTAGACAGAAATATCTAAAATGACCATGACCGTTAGCTTGTGGGTTGCAGCATAGCTTAGTTTTTAAATGGCAGCAAATCCTGCCTTTTTGATTTCAGAATCAGAAACGGGTTTATTGCCAGGTCGGTTCACACATACGAGGAATTTGACTTGATGTCATGGTGCATACATAAAATATAAAATAAAGAATCTCCATATAAAACAAAAAATCTTTAAGGACACTGTAATAAAATATAGTTAAATATCAATAACATAAAGCAGTAATTTACAACGAAATGGAATGTAACGAGTTATAGAATATAAACTATGAAATATGAAATAAGAATATGTGCAGTAAGCAGTATTGAACATTGTGTGCATTAATGTAATGCATATAGAGTCTACGTTGTGTCAGTGGGGGGGCCAGGCCTTGTTTAAGAGGCCGGTAGCGGAGGGGAAGAAACTGTTCAGGTGGCGAGAGGTTTTGGTCCTGATGGAGCGCAGCCTCCTGCCAGAGGGGAGGGGGGTGAACAGTTTGTGTCCAGGGTGGCAGGGGTCGGCCACTATCTTCCCTGCCCGCCTCAGGGTCCTGGAGGCGTGCAGGTCGTGGAGGGATGGCAGATTGCAGCCGATCACCTTCTCTACAGAGCGGATGACACGCTGCAGCCTGCACTTATCCTTGGCTGTGGCTGCGGCGTACCAGATGGTGATGGAGGAGGTGAGGATGGACTCCATGATGGAGGTGTAGAAGTTCACCATCATCGTCTTTGGCAGGTTGAATTTCTTCAGCTGCATGGACTTTAATTGAATATTTGGGATAAAACTGATTCTCAGGAGTGGGATTTGAACCCAATTCAATTGGGTCAACAAATCTGTTTCTTGAATAAACTAGACATGCTTTATAATAGGCAGGTTTAAGACACTAAATAATCATATTTCCTTTATCCTTTGGTACATACTGATGTGTATCTTAGATTACCTAAAGAAACTGCCCTAAAATGTTTTCAGACGTTTATGGTCGACTGACTTTTTCTCAAGAACCCCCAGCAGTTCAAGGTTTTCTCCTATTCTGAGAAAGATTTCAACATCTACAGGACAGATGGGCACATCTTTTGATATCAGTTTTACTAATGATCAAATTTGGTACGTGGTAAACAATACAAATCTGATAAAAAAGCTGTCAGGAGTGGGATTTGAACCCACGCCTCCAATTGGAGACCAGAAGTCCCCTTGATCAGGAAGGAGTCAATCCTTGAGTCTGGCGCCTTAGACCGCTCGACCATCCTGACACTTTATAGCTTTCCATGAAATGTCTTCAGACGTTCAGAGTTCACTGACTTTCTTTTTCAGCAGTTCAAGGTTTCCCACTTATTCTGTGAAATATTTCAGCATCTACAGGACAGATTGGCACATATTTTGGTAGAAACATTCATGGTTCCCAGAGGATGAATCCTAAAGATTTTGGTGATCCTCTGACTTCTCGTCTAGCGCCACCAGCAGTTCAGGATAACAGATCACCCGACACTTTGGTTTATGACTAAATACCTTAAGAACTAAGAGTTTACCATATGCATAGAGGGAACTACTTTGAAAGGAGCAACCTTGATACAAGGTCAATATTATACACGCATAACCTGTGGTTTAAAATATGTCAGGAGTGGGATTTGAACCCACGCCTCCAATTGGAGACCAGAAGTCCCTTTGATCAGGAAGGAGTCGATCCTTGAGTCTGGCGCCTTAGACCGCTCGGCCATCCTGACTACTATTAGTTCCATGGGTTATCTATCAAAATCAAAAATGTTAGGTGAGGTTTAAGACACTTGCCAAGTAAAACATATATATGATTCAATCTTTTGTAAAACCAACGTTTAATCCTCCAGATTATATGTCTTCGATCTTGAAAAGCTGTAACGTTTTCTGAATATATTGAAATTATGAATTGGGTTTCTACCGCCATAGCAGACATAAACGTCCATTCATTTTAACCAATGACCTGCTCCAGTTCAACATGAGACCAAACATCGCTTTGGATTACAGTTTCTGAGGCTTGTTTTGAGCCTAGACTATTCACAAAATGTATTTTCTTGTGTTACCCTACCACCAAAACAAGAATAATTAGAATTTAGCAGTTACATAAGGGTATAAAACATTCAATAAAATTGTTTTTCTGTCAACCTTTTCATCACCACAACCATTGGAGGATATTTTTGAGGTAAACAGTCATAAATGAGAACGAAAAATATAAGTTTGCTGGTTTTAATAAAATTCAAGATACCTACAAACAGACACATTATCTTCCCTCAGGCTAAAATCAGGCAGAGAAAACAATACACACACACACACACACACACACACACACGCACACGCACACGCACGCACACACACACACATACACTCACTCACTCACTCACTCAGAGTGCGAGTGCCACCGTGTGTCAGTCATGTTGTACTGATGAACTCATTAAGTGTTTAAATGACTTATAAGTGACTGATCAATCTGCCTGACGAACTGTCTATCTGTTCATCTGACCAGATAATTATCTGTGTGTGTGTGTGTGTGTGTGTGTGTGTGTGTGTGTGTGTGTGTGTGTGTGTGTGTGTGTGTGTGTGTGTGTGTGTGTGTGTGTGTGTGTGTGTGTGTGTGTGTGTGTGGAATGAGCAGGAGGACAGGAGGTGCTGCAGAGGTCAGTGAATGATCCTGTTCATCTCTACCTGCTCTGATCCACTGTCACACACACCTTCAGCGGTAATATCTTCACTTCACCCACAGTGAAAATGTATGGAAACACCCTCTCAGTGAAATTGTGTGTGAAGGTGTGTATGTGTGTGTTAGTGTCAGGATCAGAGAACGACAACACTCCTCTGTTCCAGTCCAGATCCACTCTGACCCTCTGGAGCTTCTTCTTCAGGCTGAGAGGAGTGGGTGGATCTGATGGTGACCGTGCTGAGTATTGACCTCCAAAGAAAGCTATTCTCCATGATCCAGACTTTATGTTTCCCTTCCTCTGGACAGACTCTGCTGACACACCCAGTAACCAGTGTGTACTGTCTGTAACCTGGACATCCCAGCTGTGAGTCCCTGAGTTAAAGCCTTCAGAGCCCAGGACAGAGGGGACACTATCAAACCTCTCTGGATTATCAGGAAGTTTCTGTCTCACTCCTCCTGCTCTCACTCTGGTCAGATCTTCAGACAGGATGAGGTTTGGATCAGCAGTGTTTGGGTCCAGGATGACAGGATAATATGACACCAAGTCCTTCATCTTGCTCCAGATGTTGAAGCTGAGGTTGTCCAGGTGTTTGGCCTGGTCTATCAGAGCTCCCGAAGGCAGCTGTGGATCCTCCAGCAGGGGGCGCTGCAGCCTCTCCACTGCAGCCTTGTAGTTGTGCAGGAAGGAGACGTCTTCAGCTCTCAGCTCCTCCTCTGTGTCTCTGACTGTGTGTGAAAGAGCTGCTATCTCTCTGCTCACAGCCTCCATCTTCTCCTCCATCATCCTCCTCTTCTGCTCCTCTTCCTCCCTCAGTGCAGCCATCCTGGCCTCCTCTTCCTCTTTTAGAAACTGGTGAAGCTTCTTAAACTGCTTCTTAATCTGCGTCTCTGTGTGTCGAGCCTGGACCTTCAGGTGTCCTGCTGTTTGATCAAACTTCACTTTAACTTCTTCAAAGAGCTTCAGTTTCTCCTGAAAGGGCTGCAGAGCTTTCTGGAGCTCCTCTCTGAGATCCTGAGCAGCTTCATCGATGGGTCTGAATCTGTGGTTGGTGTGTGTTTTTGAATCTCTGCAGACGACACACACTGGCTGCTGATGGTCCAGACAGAAGAGTCTGAGTTTCTCAGAGTGCAGACTGCAGAGAGCCTCAGGAGATCCCTGATCTCTCTCCAGTAAGAAGGTCTCACACGTGTTCTTTAACACCCGGTTACAGGGAGGTTTTCTTCTTGAAGATTCTGTCTTACAGACTGGACACTCTCGTGATGGTTTCTCTCTCCACCAGGTCTGCAGACAGGCTTTACAGAAGCTGTGGCTACAGGACAGAACAACAGGATCTCTAAAGACGTCCTTACAGACCGGACAGCAGAGATCTTCCTCTAACCTGGACGCCATGTTGTCTCTGAGTGAAGCTGAAACACAGCAGACAGGAAGTACAGTCAGTCATGGCTCCCCTCCCCCTCCTCTACGCACTTCACTGAAATTCACTTTGAGTGTTGTTTGGAGACTCACCTTCAGGGGGGGAGGGTGCGCAGGTCGAAGCAGCAGGGTTGTAGTTTCCACTTTTCTCTCCTGTAGCTGAACTCAGAGGAAGTTGTTAGTTTGGTCTGAAGGTGAATGTGATCGTCTGTTTTTCAGTCCGTCTCTCTCTCTGCAGTGAGGGAGAAGAACAAACTGTTTCCTGGTGTGTCTCAGGTGAGTCAGTGAGGGAGGAGTTCTGTCACGCCTCCTCTGCTGAACTCTGTCTCCTCTCATGTAACACAGGGTGTGTCTCATCATCGCTGCATTGAAGTTGTTGTGGAGGAGTTAAACTATAATCTCATGTATCATTGGAGAGGGAAACGAGTCCGTCTCTTTGTGCGTACAGAGATTGGATGGCCCTGAGAAGAGACCCAGAAGTGTAAAGTAACTAAGTACATGTACTCAAGTACGGTACTTAAGTACAATGTTGTGGTACTTGTACTTTACTTGAGTATTTCCATTGTATGCTACTGTGTACTTCTACTCCTCTACAGTTCAGAGGTAAATGGTGTACTTTTACTCCACTACATGTATGTAATACCTTTAGTTACTTCACAGATCTGGATGAATGATGTGAAATATAATAAACTCTTAAATCAGACTTTAGTTACACCTGGAGTAAATTCATAATGAACTACTTTACTAATACAAACTGTGGGGGAAACTTCTGAAGCAATAGGAGTCAGGACTCAGAGAGACACGAGGAGAGCTGGAGCTTTGATGGCAAACACTGACGGTTTATTTGGAGCTTCGGCCGGAGAATTCACAAGACATGTCACGGGCCACGAGTTGACCACCCGGTTGAGATGCCACAATCAATTCTGAAGACCCCTCCTGTAGCTCCAGGTTTTAACTAGTTCAGAGTGTAATAATCAACATTCTTCAATAGATAGACTAAACAGCTGAGGACACTGAATCACATTTGTTGTTGCTTATGGCTCGGGGTCATCTATACCCCGAGAAGGATGTGTTCCAGGTGTCCCACAACAATGAGTATCTCTGACCGAGAGGTGCCCGGTCACAAACTGGTAACAACAACAACAACACCTTGCTAGGGCAGCCCCTCCTTCAGGGAGATAACGGCTGCTCAAGGCTGGTCAGCTGCGTCAGAGGGCGAAAGGTAAACATGTAGGGGAAATTATTCCCTGACACTAAGGAACATAAATGAAGCTTTGTTAAATAAAGGGTACATTTTATTTTGATATTGTCTGTTAATATTTGTGTTGTTTTATCAGAAATATGACTTCAATCTCAAACAAAACAACAACAAAAATTGATAGATGATAATAATCAGATAGAATGCAAACAAATAAATACGAGACTCTCAGAAAGTAATGTTTTTGGGGGGATTATAACGAGTTTCCAGAGGTTTTTGGATGTGAGTTTTAATAACCTTTAAGGAGTTTTTTGGAGGATGTTTTGAAATGATTGAGTTTCCATGAGTTTTGAGATTACAATTTGGTGACTATAAATGAGTTTCTGTGAGCTATTTGGGAGTTTCTTGGAAGGTGTGTGTGTGTGTGTGTGTGTGTGTGTGTGTGTGTGTGTGTGTGTGTTGTACACTGTTTTCTCAAACAAAGACCATGCAGTCTTGTCACACAAGCTCACGTACAAACTCTCTGATGTGTTTCAGACTGAAGCCAGTCAATACACATTATTGAGACATGGGTTGCCACACACACACACACACACACACACACACACACACACACACACACACACACACACACACACACACACACACACACACACACACACACACACACACACACACACACACACACCATCAATCTACCTGCTCTTTGTTTTACAGCCCTCTGCAGGCACCGTATTTTAAACACACACACACTGACAAACACTGACAAACACACACACACACACACACACACACACACACACACACACACACACACACACACACACACACACACACACACACACACACACACATTGTGTTGCTCATGTTGTGTCTGGTGGACCAGGCTCACCAGGTGAGACCCTGAATATTTGTGGTAAAACTGCAGACATTTCCAATACTCTGGCTTTCTGAAATGTCTGCAAATCATCTGTATGGTTACAGAAACAATGTGTTATTGGCAGTGATTGATGTGTCATGGCTCTTAGGATGGCAATAACGGTCGGTCCACCACTTCGTTTTAGACAGAAATATCTAAAATAACCATGACCGTTAGCTTGTGGGTTGCAGCATAGCTTAGTTTTTAAATGGCAGCAAATCCTGCCTTTTTGATTTCAGAATCAGAAACGGGTTTATTGTCAGGTCGGTTCACACATACGAGGAATTTGACTTGATGTCGTGGTGCATACATAAAATATAAAACAAAAAATCTTTAAGGACACTGTAATAAAATATAGTTAAAGGTGGGGTAGGTAAGTTTGAGAAACCAGCTCGAGATCGCTAGAATTTGAAAATACACAACCGTAGAAAATCTGCCACTTCCTTACAGAGCCCCTCCTCCAACACACACGAACGCGCACATGACCAATGAGGGCACGAGATAAGTTTGTGCACAGATGGAAGGCTGACAGGCAGGTAGGCCATCCAATCATTTTACCCAGGCCGGCTAAAATGATTGGTCCTACTTTTTACAGTACTACAGCTTCCACAGATGACATTTTTTTATGGATTTTTTGTCAAAGCACTTAAGATATTCATTGCTATCGGGATGTTAAGAGCATTCCATGGAATATAACAAAAAGTGTATCTCGAGCCGGTTTCTCAAACTTACCTACCCCACCTTTAAATAGCAATAAAATAAAGCAGTAATTTACAGCGAAATGGAATACAATGAATTATAGAATATAAACTATGAAATATGAAATAAGAATATGTGCAGTCAGCAGTATTTGAACATTGTGTGCATTAATGTAATGCATATAGAGTCTACGTTGTGTCAGTGGGGGGGCCGGGCCTTGTTTAAGAGGCCGGTAGCGGAGGGGAAGAAACTGTTCAGGTGGCGAGAGGTTTTGGTCCTGATGGAGCGCAGCCTCCTGCCAGAGGGGAGGGGGGTGAACAGTTTGTGTCCAGGGTGGCATGGGACGGCCACTATCTTCCCTGCCCGCCTCAGGGTCCTGGAGGCGTGCAGGTCGTGGAGGGATGGCAGATTGCAGCCGATCACCTTCTCTGCAGAGCGGATGACACGCTGCAGCCTGCCCTTATCCTTGGCTGTGGCTGCGGCGTACCAGATGGTGATGGAGGAGGTGAGGATGGACTCCATGATGGAGGTGTAGAAGTTCACCACCATTGTCTTTGGCAGGTTGAATTTCTTCAGCTGCATGGACTTTAATTGAATATTTGGGACAAGACTGATTCTCAGGAGTGGAATTTGAACCCAATTCAATTGGGTCAACAAATCTGTTTCTTGGATAAACTAGACATGCTTTATAATAGGCAGGTTTAAGACACTAAACAATCATATTTCCTTTATCCTTTGGTACATACTGATGTGTATCTTAGATTACCTAAAGAAAGTGCCCTAAAATGTTTTCAGACGTTTATGGTCGACTGACTTTTTCTCAAGAACCACCAGCAGTTCAAGGTTTTCTCCTATTCTGAGAAAGATTTCAACATCTACAGGACAGATGGGCACATCTTTTGATATCAGTTTTACTAATGATCAAATTTGGTACGTGGTAAACAATACAAATCTGATAAAAAAGCTGTCAGGAGTGGGATTTGATCAGGAAGGAGTTGATCCTTGAGTCTGGCGCCTTAGACCGCTCGGCCATCCTGACACTGTTAGTGAACCAGAAAAGATGAGAATTTACGGCTAACATTAGCACATCATTTGGAACAAACATTCATCGTTCCCAGAGGATGAATCCCAATGATTTTGGCGATCCTTTGACTTTTCATCTAGAGCCACGAGCCAGCAGAACGTCCAGTCACTCTTTACTTTGGTTTATGACAAAATACCTCCAAAATAAAGATGAAGACATGCTTAACTTGGGGTAAAAGGTGTGTCAGGAGTGGGATTTGAACCACGCCTCCATTTGGAGTCCAGAAGTCCCTTTGATCAGGAAGGAGCCGATCCTTGAGTCTGGCGCCTTAGACCGCTCGGCCATCCTGACTACTGCTTTTACAATTTTCTGTCTCAGATATCCCCAAATTGTTTATAATTGGGAGGTTTAAGTCACTAAATAATCGATGATTCTTTGGTACCAAAATCTCTGTTTCGATCACTATTGGGTGTTTCTCAATGTCGAGAACGCTTGCTTGGTAGCACATGTCTTCCGAGTCAGTTGCTCCAGAAGCGAGGCAAGAATACTTCCTGGCATTCGAAAAACGAAGAGTGGAACAGGTGAGCAAGTGTGCAGGTGTGCATCCTATGAGAGGCCCCGCCTTACATTTTCCGCCACAGATTTGGGAAAATTGGTCCGTGCGCAAAGCATTGTGGGGATTTTAAGACCGCGGAGTCTACACATGTGCAGCCTCGAAATTTCTCGCTACGAAGTACGCCGGCCTCGGTAGAATTCCAAGTATGCTGGACATTGGAACAGTCCTTCGGCGGCACTCGATGACGTAGTATGCTTGAAATAGTGGCTCTGGAGCAGCTTTACTCGACATTGAGAAACACCCATTGTCAACATTGGCCTGGGTGGGGCTAACCAAAAATGCCCCGTCCATTGAGAACACAATACTTTATATCATATTTACATACAATGCCATGTCTTTTTATGCTGCTGCAACGCAAACATTTCCCAAATTGGGATCAATAAAGTACATCTTATCTTACTTAAATATCTGATTGGCTGAACCAGGCAAAACTACAGTTACTAATCTACTTGGTTTTCCATTTATACAGGCAATTAGAAGATGAGAAATATGCAGAGCCGGCCCGACCCATTAAGCGACATAAGTGGCCGCTTAGGGCCCCGCAGCCACTAAGGGCTACATTTTTTTTTTTAAATCTCAGTACACCGTTGTTTATCTCAGTACACCGTCGCCGTGATAAGTATGTTTAATTAATTTTGTTAATATGCCTAGATTGCCTACTCTCAAAGTCATGATTGAG